AATCATCGGACAATTCATTTATCAAATATTCATCCTAATGGGGGGGACGTCTGATCCCTAAAACAGCAGTCAAACAACCCACAATCACCGGACATTGGGTGCAACTGCTGTCAGAATAACGCATTATACTGCACAACTCATTGTCCCTCCCAGAACTTATTCTTTGTTTTATCGAACAAAACTAGGCATACCTGGAGTTTTACCTTACCAATACAAGTTTCTATTTATTATTTCAATTGCAAGAGCAGTTCACATAACCTCGTTTGTCTAGTCAAGGTGTTGTGTCCACAACCGGTAGCAGAACACGTAATGGTGGCGTTGCATTTATTTATGCGATTGTAAACACAAAACCCGGCCGTAGCCGGCGACTAAGCGGCAAACAAGCAAGTGAGTTGGCATAAAGAACTAAACTACTTGTGCCTTCACGCGCAGCAGAGGAAGACCAATCAGTACACAGCAAAATCGATAGGTCAATACTGCTGGCGCTAAAGCATGGTTAAAGATCGAGGCAAATTGGGAGTATGTTCATTCATGAGAGGAATATTGATCGGTTGTCCGCGTAGTGTGCGAGACCCTAACCAGACACAACACAAGGGATTGAACACCAGTCAAATAATTGCCAACTCCGTTTCTGACACAAATCCTTGTGTCACAGGCGCCTATCTATCCTCCCTAGTTGATCGAACCTGTAACCGCATATCATGCTAGTAACGCAGAGATTAGTTTCATCCGAATTTCGCTTATTACACGAATGAAACTAACGTCGTGAACTTACCGGTTATATTTATCCCTGCTAGAGCTAATTATGAGTTTCCAAGTCTCATGTAAGCTTTTGTGGTATTGGATGTGTTCCGTGATTCGCGTATATCATTTAGACAGTTGTGCTTTGGCCACTGATTAACGGTTTAGGCTGTTCATAGCGAAAAACGATTCTGCTCATCATTTCGTTTGCACTCTGATCAAACTCAGCGTCCGTTACCAGAGTGCAACTTTGAAGCACGCTCTTACGTGACCCGATTGCATTGTTACACTCGAGCATTTATTATCTGTCCGGTTAGTTTGTCTTCTACCCGATCCAGGATACGGTTATTTTCCGGGAGGTATTGTTTCTATTACTGCGGTCTTTGTGGAAATATTAAAATATTCATTAACAGCATCTTAATACAAGTGAGAATGAATTCGGCCTAATGTAAACATACCCGTACTGACTTCGTTGCCTCTGTGACGGTATGACCAGCTACTTATTTTCATTAAACAATAAAATAAGAACCAATTATCCAATTGGACTCATACTGAACAAGGTAATCGGGCTTTTCCAATACAGTAACAAAAAAAAAATCCCCTATGAGTAACCAACCCGTTGTCTACAGATGATACTAGGAGTAATACGATCCATCAAACAATGTGAACGCTTGACTCACCACTGAAAAGCTTGGAAGTAGTGTGTGGCTGTTTCCCCCTTGTTAGGAATCATCTCAAGCGCACATCCACCAAGCCCCAACGAAGACTCGATTTCTGGATGAGCAGCTGTAAGTCGAACACCTAACCATCAGGTTACCTGGACAGACTCTCGAGGGTCAACAACTTTGAATGAAAGTAGCCCGTCGGCTGCACAGCGACGGCTTGCTGAATATACACACCAAATGATCAGTTAGGAGCAAGCCGATGCAAATAGCACTGTACCAGTGCGGAATATAAAAACGCCCGGAACGACATCTGCTAGCCATTCACATTCTCGAAACTACAATCCGAAGGGTATCAAAATCTGCTACTAGAGTGTCCTCAGCGATGACTCACTGTATCTCTCCCGAGCCTCTTAACACCTCATCTAGCACTCCTCCAATTCTGCCCTTGAGAAGCAACTGAAGGGCCGCCAACTTATTCCGGTTCGATTGGATCCCCGAGAGTTCAGCGGGAGCTTCGAAGTCCTCCAGGAAGCCCCTTAAACTGGCGTACTGCAATGACTCCAAAGATGTTAGCATAGTTACGGTCATAATTCCATAACCTAGATAACGCGCTAGATGATACCCTATGTGCAGTGAGTGAGGCTTTTGAACCACAATTAAACCAATAGGGTACAACGGAACACTTCATTTGCACATTCATCATCACGGCACGTAATCACACTTTCACCAAGCATGTATTTCTCATATTGCCCATCTTTCTTAGTCCATGTGACTTCCTCAAGATGGGCTTCGCTGAGGTATCCATGATCCTTGTTTAGTATTAGTCTACTCATGAATAGTACGTGAGGTACCCGTTAGAACCACGGATTGCGGGATTCATAAAATCAACCATGCAAAGCAAAACTGCTTATTTGTATCTTCAGCATCCAGTCCATGAGATATAGTCGTAATCCGGTTGAAGATGCCATCATTTGGTTTGTCAGCTTTGTTCTTCATGCTGCATTCCATCCGTGTGACGTAGTCAAGTCCATTATCGTCCCATGACCGACCACTATTGGCTTTTAAGCGGAGAGCTACTCACTTAATCAGCTAGTAGTATGCAAACTCCACTCCTCTGCCACTGCAGCTGTTGTAATGTTCGATTCGGAGCGAGCAAGCCTCTTGGTTTACGGTTCAGTTCACGACAGCAAATCGACTCAAGCAAGCTGAAACGGAATGCACCGATCAATGTTAACGGTTCAGCACACAACGACGGCCAGGTCGCGGGCGTAAGTAACAAGAACGCACTGTGTCGAATGAATGTTTATTGTGTATTCTCGGAGGGCGGCGTCCCAACCGAGCGGCACGAATAACAGTCACGTTCACGAGCACACGTGTGTACAGTTATGGGAAACGTCTACTCGGTCCAGTTCGATAAAACATACATACATCAAGAAAAAGGGTTACACACTTCAAAAGGGTTTCGGTGACGATTCGGCCGGTCCCGTCCGTTGGTTGAGTGCGGGACCTGGAATATGATAGAAACGAGTGTGCATTAGTAAGCGCCAATTCAAACACTACATGTTAGTTTCGGTTCCACTACACTGTCACATTTCAGAAAACGGGCCTGAAAACGGGCTGGTTGTACGGGCCTTTCGGAAGTCACTAACACTAATCAAACACGACAAAAATACTTGTTTGTATTACGGCGGTCCATTCCTTTTGAAGTTAGTTGTTATCTAATCGGAAGATGCATTCACGTAGTTCACAAGCCTTCCTATACCTTGTTGCTGTTGCTCCCGCTGGAGTAGCGATTTTAGCTATCTATCTACAATTATCCACATTCGCCTTTTTAGTGATCAAATACTTACCTATTCAGTAAGTAGTACGTACACTCCAGTCCACCGCACTACTGCTACTGCTCTTACAACTATAGCAAATCTCTATTATTATTATTTTCACCGAGCAGGACACGAACTATTTAGCATTGGAGGTTGACATCAATGTATTTATCACACGAAGGCAATAACCCATTTTATTTCTGCAATTTTCAGATTCGTCAGGTTGTTAGCACAAATTATCAAATAACCATACATCAAGTGTCATTTTCCAGCTAATCTGTGAATCAATGAAAATGTTCATCTGATATGACGGTTTGAAATTGTTCCAGTTAGGAATACATCAGTGGAAGTAATAATAAAAACTAGCTTTCAGAGTCACACGTCACATTCTTGTGGTAGGCTCAGGCGGGCTCATTGGTAATTCACTGGTCGACCAATCACATCTACCTTTCGTTGCACTCGGTTACTCCACTTCTGATTTGCTGAGACTTTTTGCTGTTCTTGGTCGAAATGCTGTACCGTCCGATGTAGCGTAATTTGCACAGCAATTCCCCGTAACCCGACCGAGTATTGCCTCATAAATGCCTAATGTGCGAGCAGTTGTCGATTCACTAAGGGTACGAAATCCAACGAAATTACTTAATGCTAGTTTATTGCTTTTCCCGACTGATATTTCCGAAGTAAAACATGAAAACTACTGACAAGTACAAACCTGAAAGACTCCGAATTCACCCCACTTTTTCTGTCCTTGGTTGTTGAATCTCCATGGGACCGGCATAAAATCACCCGGAGTGGTTACTGTTCTCTATGTGCAGTTTATTAGACGAAATCCCGAAAATCGATCGCTGTGTAAAAGTGGTTACGGAGAAAACGAATGACGGCTTTCTGCTGGTGTAGCGATATGTTCTCCATTGTTGAATCATTGCACCGTAAATAGTTTTCCAAGTGAATAACTACTGAAGATTATTATCGGCATCGCAAAATAAAGTGGTTGCCCTACAAAGAGACAGGCTTGGGGTGCGGTTGCCATTTTTTAGCAAATTACCCTCCCCTCCAAGTGTTCAGTTTTTAATCCGGATGATATGAAAGTAGACTGAAATTAGTATCCATGCTACTGAATTCGATTTTAATTTATGAAAATGGTGTCAAACCTATGACCTAGGGGACAGTTAAAAGAAACCAGGACCAAATCACCCGTCACGTGCGGAGAGTTTGAGATAGAATATTCGAGACCACCATAAATTTATGATACTGTGAGTTGACTGAACTGTGAAACTTCACGCTATCAGTCCTAAAATGCACCAGTGGTCAGTGCGTAATGCTCTTAGGCTGAATAACAATCTGTTTGATGATGTCCAAATCAGTACGTGACGCAAGTGGTATCTGATGTGCTGGCCAGCCACAAAGCTATCTAGTTGCTGCATGGGGGATAATATGATTACCTGATTCCGCCTACCCCGGATTGGTTGGCTGCCTGGTTTCGACCTTGTTAGCAAACGAAATGCGAAGGAGGAAGGACGTCGCAGTACAACAGGTTGTGGTTGAATGATCGCCGAGTTCTTCCTTCTGAGTTGTCAAATGTTGAGCCCTGACTATTCAATAAATTCCCCCTGGTGTCTTTAAGCTTCATCTGAAACACGGTTAATGCTACCCCAGCCAAGGTAAAGCTAACGTGTCATTCTTCCGGTTTCAAGAGAAAGTGAACTGGAGAAAGTTATCGGGGAAGTAGAAAATAAATGATTTTGAGTCATATGAATCCAGGTCAACCACTCACATGCGTCAACTTCAACCTACGGCTACACTCAATACAACCGGCCCAGAGCAAATTTCTCGTAATTTATCCACTTGCCTTCCGGTTTTTGTTCGGGTTGATTCCGTTCGTGAATCCCGTCAACCGCCATACGATGGTCCGTTTTGTGTTATTAAATGTTGGGATAGGTACCTCGTCATTGATCGCAAAAGACACCATGATTCGATTAGCGTTGACCGTCTAAAGGTAGCTTATGTTGAACCTGCGTCCGTAGCAGATCCTGCCATTGTTCCTTTCACACTCACACCTTCAGAACCTTTCCATTTACCTCAGTCAACACCACCATCACCGTTGATGGAACTGCAACCATAGTCATCAAAAATACCGTTGTCATCATCCCAGGACCCTCGGGAGGTTCAAATCCCACTGAAAAAGACTCTCTTTGACAGAACTATACACCTTCCACTTCCCTTTTAAGACTATGCTTCTTAAACACATTCTTATCGAGTGTTTCCTGTCTACTTTTGTCGCATCCCTCTAAGGGTTAGGAGGGTTATGGTATCTTGGACTTTCCGTACATTCTACCATTTTCTTCTCACTATATTGTACACAATGTTCTATTGTTTCATCAAATTGATAAAAACAGTTTTCACACACACCCGCAAGTTGTTATCGCGGTTGGTTCTCTCTCTGTGTTGCTAGATGAGCTTTCTGTAACCTGTGGCATTGAAGACCAAATTCATACTATCTCAAACGCACGTTATCGGAGAAGTAGAAAATAAATGATTTCGCGAAAGAAAAAGTGATGTTATGGGAAGCACTGAGGCCCCTGAGAAGAAACAGTGCGTCCGGCTAAAATTCTAAGAAGATGCCATGTCAAAACTATTCAACAGACGTTGAACATGTGCTTAAATTCAACTGGTGTGTCACGCGTATTCGTAAGCTCTTCAGTGATTCGAAATAGTCATAACTACTTGTTGTCACCCATGGCCAAAGTGTGGTCGTCTATTGGTTGAGGTGCTCGTGTGGCACAGTCTACACCGGCCAAATACAGGATAATTAATGCAAAAGAATAAACATTGTTTCTAACGTAGATGAATAAGAACAATCGGGTGCAATAGTATCGGGCACCTATTGAGCTGAGGCTGTCAAGTATCTATTGTCTCGGCATATCTAGATGTGTATTTGTTGCCCGCTTATCCTCACAAACATGTTCATCTATATGCACCGGGCATCCCTTCCTGTTCCCATATATGAAACATGTCCTAGGGATGAATCCGTTTCTTGTTGAAAATGTGATCCGTGTACCACGAGCCATTTCATCCGTGTACTTTCATTATTCACTTCTAGCATCCTCGCACAATGGATTTTCTTCTGCCCGATTAACTCTTCCATTACACTTACTCGTTTTTGCTGATTCACTAGGGATACTTTTGGCGATTTCCCGATCAAAAGCATTTGGATGCGCACGACAATTTGAAGCATTTTTTTCTGAAATTAACCCCTGACTGCTGTCCATATTCTTCAAAGCAGATTCTTATCGTTCTACTCAATGCTCGTGCTTCGGTTTAACCCCGTCCCTCAGTTCAACGTGGAAAAAACAATGTTGTTGCGTGTCTTAGTTCCTTACTCATCGATCGCAATCACTTCGTGCTTGATATTAAAGCTGTTCACCTTGGTTAGATCCAATGCTTATTTTTACACAGTTACTTTCTCCCAAACGGTCTCTGTCTGCGTCCGAACTATTCCCACTTACTCGCTACCCAATGGATTTCACTACCAGTCACGTACATGTGGGTTGTGTAACTGAGTGACGTGGAAGGGCATATCGGTAGAACTGCTAACACTGGGAGTCATAACATTGGTACTGGTGAGCACAGTCATGGTAAAATTTGGAAGCATATTCATAATAATAATCACAACTTTATTGCCAATAAATGTCGTAGAGATGGCAGAAGTAGCGGTAGTAGCAATATTACTAGTGGTAATAGTATTAGTAACGGTATTATTGTTATTGTTGTTATTATTAGTATTGGAAGTAGTGATACTGATAGTAGCGGCGTTGAGTTTTACATACCAAAACGGAGTTTTCACTTCACAAAATACTTCATCCTGGTCCGTTAAAAAATGAACAAAGAAGGGAACCACATAATTTCTGTACAGCTATAATTCTGAACGAAGTATTCGAGACATGGAACCGGTCGACTGGTGTGGATGACCGACAGATAAGTCACAATGCAGTGGGCTGTAGTGGTAATTGTGCATTATACAATTTGAGTTTACTCTATAAAATTCAGTCCGATGATTTCGAATAAAGAATAAGTAACATGATCCAGTTTCGGAAAGAAGCTCTCTTTTCTGACCCCCCCCCCTCCTCCCCAAAGAATGTCACACGTCGGGGGTGGAATTGACTTTCCAGTGTACACCTGAGGTCAACTTTGTCTGAAGCCTCCTTCGCTTCTCGTACTCCACCCCCCAAATACAGAGCAAGCCAAACGTAATGTGTTCCTAATTCGTACCAGTTCACGATGAGAGAACTATAAAACTAAACACATTTGGGGCACTTAATGATTACTCTGATGACGCACGCGCCGTGTTGCAAGCAAGAGCACAAACGCGTGGAGTAGCAAGACAAGAGTACGCAGAAGGAAGTGTATGGTATCAGATGCTTACTTCTGACAGTTAGCGTGACAGATTGTCACAACCGGGTCATCCGTTTTTCTTCCATCGACTTAGAATCGAATACAACTTCAATCCTTTTCTCCCAAGCGATAAACGGCACGTGTTACGCTCCGAATTGATATGCAAAAAGTGGTAAAACATGGATGACTGTCAACATTTTGTGAATTTACAACCCTTACATTCCTCAAACCGCTGCACAAACACTGCTCTCCTTAGTGGAAATGACCTCGAGCCGGGACACTTTGCGTCCTCGATCATGTCAAACAAGTGATATACAGCCAATCGTTGTGTAATACGAGACAAACAAAATCGTAGGATGTAATTAGATGCAAAAAAGTAATCCCCGACTGTAAAAACACAATCCAAGCATCATATGCGGCAGTTGTGTGATAAGCAGAGGATAAAAATTTACATGGAGTTTTAGGAACCCACAAAAACTATCGTCAGGTCAACATTTAATCCTCGGCTAAAACGATTTCAAATAGTGAAATCATCATTAACCAAATCATCAAATACAAAAACTGAAAAACCCGAATCAAAAGCAAACGAATCATCCCCAGCAACCGGTTCATCATTATCATCATGATCCGAATCATCACCATCATCATCATCATCATCATCATCATCATCATCATCATCATCATCATCATCATCATCATCATCATCATCATCATCATCATCATCATCATCATCCGAATCATCATCATCATCATCATCATCATCATCATCATCATCATCATCATCATCATCATCATCATCATCATCATCATCATCATCATCATCATCATCATCATCATCATCATCATCATCATCATCCGAATCATCCGAATCATCATCATCATCATCATCATCATCCGAATCATCATCATCATCATCATCATCATCATCATCATCATCATCATCATCATCATCATCATCATCATCATCATCATCATCATCATCATCATCATCATCATCATCATCATCATCATCATCATCATCATCATCATCATCCGAATCATCATCACCACCATCATCATCATCACCATCATCATCATCATCATCATCATCATCATCATCATCATCATCATCATCATCATCCGAATCATCATCATCATCATCATCATTATCATCATCATCATCATCATCATCATCATCATCATCATCATCATCATCATCATCATCATCATCATCATCCGAATCATCATCATCATCATCATCATCATCATCCGAATCATCATCATCATCATCATCCGAATCATTATCATCATCCGAAACATCACCATCATCATCCGAATCATCATCATCATCATCCGAATCATCATCATCATCCGAATCATCATCATCATCATCATCATCATCATCATCATCATCATCGTCATCATCATCATCATCATCATCATCATCATCATCATCATCATCATCATCATCATCATCATCATCATCATCATCATCATCATTGTCATCTTGATTATCGTCATCATTCTGAGTTGCAGCAGTAGCTGCAGCAATATCAGATTCACCGTTATGATAGTCATTTTCTTCATCTTCTTCATTATTATGGCGGTCGTCGTCATCATCAGTCGTCAGTAGAGTAACTGTTGTAAACTGTACTGACTTTAGTGATAGACTGATGTATTTGAAGTTCGCCGAATCCTTCAGCCTCAATCGCGGTTCATCTTTGCGCATGTTGAATTATGGGCAGTCTTTGGGCAATATCATGAACTTATGTTCCATAAATGCTTTCGTTGACTATGTTGCGTCGAACAATTTTCCCCCAATCACAAGCGGGTAATCTCCAATAACGTTTAAAGTGTGAGCTCTCCTCTATTTTTCTGAGTTACGTAAAACATTTTTTTTACTAAGGTCGGTCGCCTTCCGTTACTTCAACTGAGGATGATATTTTAGGCCTCAAACGCAGTATGTTAGAGTCGGTGATTGTTCTGTGGAATTCGACCCGAAAATGATTCTTTTATTCTGAATATCCTGTTCTTTTATGAGAGGAATACTTCATCAAACATAACCAGAGTAAACGTATTTCGCTCAGTAGTTCAATCACTTGATCGAAAAGCTCGCCTGATTCACTAAGCATGATGTGCAGGTCTTGGTGAGTCTAACATTGGTTGAAAAGTGAATAACATTTTCCAGGCCATATCACAGAAGACAGGTGTGAAAATTAGCCTGTGTAACTGGTAACGTGGGCTTCTTTGGTCCGCCTAGAAGGCGTTCAAGACACACATCTACTACATAATTAGACACTGGGATACGTGGTTTTGTGTAAAGGCCAGTAGAATTATTGTATTCACAAACTTCGTTGATCTACCAGAATCACCAACTTTTGGTTGTCACTTTACCTTTCTTGTTTGACCGCAGTTCTGGACTAATGGATTGGTTAGGGCTGTGAGAACTGAAGCACCCCATACGTTATCCATTTTGGAGTATGGGATCTAATTAAAACGAGTGAACTCATTGGGGATTGATTGTTGCGTGCTCAAGGCATACTTGATAGAGCAACGGTGCAATGCGTACATGGGTTTGGAAAGAACGGAATATCCCACACCGTATTGCGAGTCATCTGGACAACGGAATGACCCAATTATTTGTCAGTACGCAAGTTTTAAGACCATATCAGTTCCGAACTAATTGATGTTCGGTTTAAAACACCAGGGGTTTTTGTTTCCTCGTTCAAGCTGAATGGAATCAGACTTTCTTTAGAAGAATACGATTAGAGGCAATATTAGTGAATAAGCACAGGACCGGCTGTAGAGTGGAGCTAAATCTTGGCCTACTGAATGCGCTAATATCTGGAAAGTGGAAATGTAAACTGGTTAAGGCCATTTGCCTAAATTCCACTACTCATGAAACCAACGAGGCAGTCTAACCTCAAGAGACCCAAGTCGATTGGCTACCTCGCCCTGTTCTATCAGGCAACTCAATGAGTTTCTACAATCTTCATCACCAAATACACTAATTAAAGAGCAATGCTAGTTCGTGTGGACCACCCCAACTAAGGGATTGAACAGAGAACAATGTCACACTGAAATGAGTTACCAGATAGAAAGCTTTCTTCATGTAATTGGAGTCCTTCGAAAAGGATCAGTAAGACAAACAATCACATGACCTGTCACCGATATCCGAAATCTACGACCCTTGGTTGATCGGACAAATTCTGTAAGTTAACCTAACATACGTGGGTGCACACACTCGTCCAAATAGTTCTTTATTTACACGTATGACTTTATTAGAGTGGGTTATCTATCTATACTGAAGGGATGGAATTGCATCTTGTTATGTTCACAATCAGTGTCTGCAGAAAGTGTAACTATTGCACTGCTTTCATTTGTAGGAAAGCGAAAGCAACCGGACCGTAGCTGGTCAGTAAGCCGTAAACCCGAAAGGAAGTGAGTACAAATGTTGAGTTACATGCTCTCTCATGTGTAGACAAATAAGGCCAATCAATACATTGAAAGATTGATTAGTCAACACTGTCTGCTCTGAAGCATGACAAAAGACCAACATCAAGCAAGCGTAAGGTTGTGCATCAAAGGGATATTGATTGGTTATCCTGGTAGTACGCTTGACTTGAATCAGGCACAACATGTCTCAATAAACCTCAAAAATTGGGTTGTTTGGGAACTTCTGAGGACTAAGAATATTGCCTTCAAACTCGATTTGCTCTCATAGATCAACATAATTTTTGGGTTGATTAACTGAAGCATGGATAGCAACGCGTTCGGATGAAACACCGCAACTAGCTATCCGCAGGAAATCAGGTTATCTAGCCTTACTCTGGTAGGTTATGAACAATGCTTGGTCAAAACCCGATGTGGAGGTATGGGTGGAATCATTGTCTGTAAACAGCCAAGTCTCGTTATCAGTCAGCCCGTCAGCGCCTATCCAGACTCAAGAACAATGCTTAGGTCAGCGGATTCGTGACCGACAGGGCAGCATATCAATAATACAAGAACGGATTCCCCTCAAGAATTAGATGGCCTCTTGGCCAATCAAGCACTCCGAAGGGAAGTTACACGATGCAAGTCAGAACCAGTTGGTTGGTGTTGCAGTGACTGGTGACAGTAACTGTTTCTTCCAACGGTGATTGTTCGACAGCAGAAAAGTCTTCTTACAAGAGCTAGTAGGACGGATCAAAACACCCCGATGCGCATAAGCGTAAATGGAAAATGAGAAAGAATTTCTGTTATAAACAACCTGTTGAGTTTGATTGTTATATGAGTTTAAGTCGTAGTCGAAGTCATCCGTAACAGGAGTCGATCGCAGTGCTGGCAGCGAACTGTCACCGTTCAGTACCAGTGACGGAAGTGTGCTGTAATATGCTACGTATATATTTGACGAGACATGGAGACCCAAGGTGGATAGTCTAGTCGTTAAACACTCGACTCAAAGACGTTCATCCCGAGTTCGAGTCCCCGCGGGGTCTCGGTGGACGTGCACCGCTATTGATTCCTAACAAAGACGAAACAGTTGTACCATGCTCACATGGTGTTCAGAGGTGAGCTGAGCGTTCACAATGCGTATCAGTCATATTATGTCAAAGATAAGTTCCTGGTACTTGTACTCATAGATAGAGATTTATCAAAAGGAAATACATCAGTCAGTGTTGATAGAAACATTTCCATTGAATATCACTGCTGACGATGGAACAAACAGAATCTTGTACGAAAGGTGAAATGAAGACAAACCATACTGTTCGTCTCTTTTTTTAAAAAAAAATCAACTCGGCAAATCAAACAAGATCTGCTCAAACGAATGCACCCAAGACAACCTAATTATGCATTGTACAAATCGTCAAATGAATAATCCCATGCTAATTGTGAAGGTCCTATTGATTTCAATGTCCCACATGTTTTCCGGTTTACAACAACAGAACAGAAAGTGACTTGATTGAACAAGTAACCGAATACAACTCTGAATGACTTTTGCTCTCAAGCGATTAATTGATTGAAGAAGAATATTAGTCTTGACAATAAATCTGGCATCGCCTTTAGCATACAGAAAGCTTGAATCTGAGTTAGTTAGCGTCCAGCGGAGCCAATTTGTCCAAATTGGAAAATAAACTTCTCTTTGCACAGAAATGACTAATTCATACTTTCCGTCTTCCTTGGAGTTAGTTACATAACAAAACGCTTTCTGTTAGCTTTTTAAAACTTATCAGTAGGTTTACACCTTGGCTTGCGTCTATCTTGCTAGGTGTGGTCAGGTGTCGCTTCAATGACGAAACCGGTAATTCGGTCCTTTACTGGGTAACACATTTGCCACGTAAGTGTCTCTCGTTCCAGAAAACTCCGCTACAGAGTTACCTTCGAGGGCAAAAGCTGACAGTATTAACGTACTACTTATAATGCATCGTACGCAACCCATCTCACAAACAGAAACAAAGTGAGGTGTTGAGAGTGAATTTCACAGCTTTACAACATCACTGGAATTAGCCCTCATAGTTTCTGTCGTTGTCATCGTTGTGACCTACACTTGATTCACACGTCAACCAAAGATCGACTGATTAACCATACTTTAAGGAAGGTAAATGTTATCATTCGACAGTACAACAATACGGACAGATAGCACCGATAGAGTTGGGAGCAGTTAGGCGGAAGAAAGGGGTGGCAAAGTACCCAGATATCAGATTTAGGTACAAGCCTAAAAGACATAACTCTCGCCTTAGAACCAACCATGATGACATCAGTAATCAAAATTAAGGATGGAAGATGGGGGAGGAGTGATATCTTGAACCTGATGTGGCCCGCGTATATAGTCATAGACTATCGGCGGACTGATTTTCCGCATAATCAGATTCAGTCAGTAATGTGATACCTAGAATGAACAGCTGGTTTTACACCGGGAAAGGACTCAAGTTGAGAACTGAACACTTGCAGAGATTGTTGCGCTTTCGGTCAGTTAAAAAGCACGAGAATATCACGTGATGCTGCTGGTAGATGATGATTCAATCAATCGGAATATCCACTCTTCCGCAGCTGCTATAGTAACCAGATCATCGGCTTTCGGACTCGTGATTGGTTAACATCGCGCTCTTCTAATTGATTGACAGGCTGCTATATTTCTCAGTCCTGCCTTCGTGGTTTTTTCGGTCATCGGATCAGTTATTGGCACTGAAATGCTGAAAGCTGTTACATTGGTTCCCAGTTACGTATCAGTCTATTAAGTGCACTGAAAAGGAGAAAACCCAATAACTTCGGCGTGTGCATTTTAATTCAGGATAATCTGTATCCCTTCGGAGAGTAGACTGAATCACATTTTGTAGTATTTTATTCTGTGACATCAATAAGTACGTAATACAGAGTAGAGGGTAAACCTGATTGTCCAATAAACCAACGGTACGTCAGAAGTCATGATCAATTAAAAACACACACGCAGGCATACATGCTAAAATCATTATTTTCCGTACGATCACTCTTTCTGTCTCTATGCGGCTGAAAAATGTATACAAATGGTTCTGGACACGCGACAACGCACGCATTTTCCACTCCATTTCAGATCGGGAATCGACTAATCAATGCCCTGAACAGATGAAAGTGAATGAGTAAGAGCTTTTGCTTATCTTGTTCAACCTCCATTACACTCCACGCATTCAGCAGAGCGGGTACGTTCAGACCAATATGTGGTGTTTAGATCGTTGTTAAGAGGTCAAAAAGTGAAAAACGGGGACCACAACT